TCTAATCTTCCTACATAAGTCAAAAATTTTATGATCATTGGTTAATAAAATAAACCAATAAGAATAATGAATTTTCGGTCTTGAAAATTGCATGACCTGAAGCTAACCTTATTATTATAATAATAATTATTATTATTATTACATATTAATGATATTAAATCAACTGAAATTTTCTAAGGCTCATATGATTTTGTGAATATTCTCAAAGAGAGACAAAAGAAAGAATTTAATTTCATAAGATTTGCTATAGGAAATAGTCACATACTTACAAGTAGTCGAAGTAATATACTATTGCCCCCAAATGTCCTGGTACGGTCGAAAGTGAAAAGAGTTCGCTCTCGCTCTCGAAATGCTCTCACATGGTCACGCATATATAGCTTCTGTCATGGAAATACTACCCACTGCCTTCACACACCAAAAGTGTTGTTTACAAAATTGAGAGGACGAAAAGCGAATGTCCGGCACTTTAACCGGGTTGGTGGACACGGAAAGTTCACCTAGGGGAGTTGGAAAACCCTGATTCCAAACCAATGTTGAACATGGGCTCCAGGATCCTGAGGGAACAAATGACGTATGAACCAATTGTTGGTCACCGGCTACCATGGGACTGCATCTCCTTACGATGCTCCACTGCCTTGTGGATTAGACTTTTAGGTCAAAGGCTTCGTGTGTGACCCCCTAAACAAACCATCTGCTTCAGTTTGGGCACCTGGGCAGTATCACAGCCCTCACACAAATCAAATGCGATTTGTACGGCGCATATGTATCTGGTGCTTCCTTGTACCAATATTTATGTGTTTAAATAAATAAAAAATAAATATACTATTTCAAATATAGATTTAATGACTATTGTAAAAGAACAGTTAGACGTGTCTCAAATTTAAGTTTTTTTAATTTTATGAATTGCTAAACGTCAGATAACTATTATCCGTGAGTTTTGGTAAATTCTATAGACTGGTTAGATTTACAGCAGTTTAAGTAGAAACCGCTAGAACATTGTCTCAACCTGCTACAAAAGTCTTTAGTAGTCCATTTATGATATCGAACAGCTTGAGGCCACAACAGTCAGGCTCCATGAAAATGTTTTTTTGTTGAAATCACTAGGGTAAAAAGCATCTGAAGTCTTAAGGAAACTGGTGCTACGTGGAGAACTTGGACTTCAATCAGCCAACTTTACAGTCTGAGACGTTACTACCAAGCCATTCAGGGGGCAAATGACCTACTGTAGGACAGATCATTAACCAATCACCTTGTTGACGAGTTCTTAATAGCATAAAACCTAGAACCAGCGCTTTAAGTCACATAACTCCAACCATATATATAATTAACTAGACATCCTACTTACTTTATTGTTTTTATCAGTGTGGGTTGAGATTGTTGAGTTTTTGATTAAGATCATGAATCGATGAATGTTGGACCATCACCGTCCAGTGCTTCCAGGTTTTCAATGGTGCTCTAACATTTATCGACTCCATCTTTATCGTTTTTGCTTATTCTTTACTTTTGAAACGAAGAACAACAGAAATGATTGATTGACTTAACTAGTTTTCAGTCTATTAATAAATTGCAGTAATATATCTACAGCAGGGTCAAACTGAAAGATGTTTACATTTTAATGAGTATTCGCTATTAGCAACCAAATATTGTGGTCTCTACAACATTCGCCATCCAGTTAAGGAAAGGAATGAGTGCATCAACTTAACATGTATTATAAATAATTTTATCGTATACAACGACTGTTATCTACGTTACTGATCAGTAAGTCGACTAATCTATATCCACTACTAAATTTTTTGTAGGAACTGGTTTGATTAAAAGTTATGGAATGGTAAGTTACTTAAAATAACATGTATGTTTGAATCATTTTGAACTGTTAGGTCAAGTAAACTAAGATTTAAAACATTGATTAACCTTTTCCACAACTTTATTAGAATAATTAGAGGGATATCGCAGATGTAATCATCAACAAAGATTTAGACATTATCGTACCCGATTAAGTGGCCGAGTGGATAACTCAATGGCGTTTGAAGCGAGGGTACTGGGTTCGAATCCCAGAGTGAACATCAACTCTGAGATGCAGGTACATCCAGCTGACGAGTCCCAAATAGGACGAAACGCGCGTCCTGGATTCCACTGCTAGCCACTATCCATCTCTGCTAACCCGATTAAGTATTGTTGTTAACTCATCAGATTTATATTCCTCAGTCAACACATTGATTGAGAAACGAAGAAAATGATATAAAAAATGACTGGACTAGGATCATACAGTTACTTTTTGAGAAAACAATACAACTATATGCTAACAAATTAATTAAGAACTTCATCCGACCTAGTAACATTACAGTAAAGACAAAAAAGTTTAATTGAGATTTACGTAACACATGTGGTATGGTTTCTGAGCGGTCGGGAAAAGCAATGAAAGTCGGATGAAAAAAAAGACTGATATAGCTGCAGAAAATCAGGATTATTTGACAAAACTACACTTCTCAATTTAATGATGCAGATATGAATTCAGAATCATATTATACAGGAACCCCTTCCAGTTTGCCAACGAATAACTGGCATCCTAAAAATGTATTTCATTAGACTACTAAAACTACTGCTGCTTTACATATTAGTAATCCCTACGAGATATTCATCTCTACAGTTCCTACTTTTTAGCATAACAACTAAGTAATCTTACATCCATTAGCTAGGACTAACCATATATTTTTGTTAGTCACTTTCCTGATGAGTTACGAGCTATTTATTCATAGTTGTTAAAATAAGGTGAGTTTTTAATCAAATTTTCTCGGAATGTTTATTACAATTTAAATTATTTCTGCTTGTAAGGTTATTCAGAATTACAGTAGTTAGTCTTTTGTATTTTACCAATGTTGATAATACTATTTTCATTCTTTTGTTCTTATTCTCTTTGAACTAATGCCATAAACTTAATCGATTATTTTTAGTCAAAGTCTTACGATCTTTTTCCCAACTCGGATACACTCGCTTTTATAAATATTTTATTGATACACAAGCAATCTGTTGTTTCTGCAACTTATAGACTTGTTGAACTGCGGTGCCGAAATAGCAATTATCGAGTCGTATTGGTGACCTTGAATTATTGCCAAGTGGCTTACATCAGTCCCCACTCCCCTCGGCCTTGGCATACGGGCTGAGTTATAACCCTCAAAAAAGACCTACAGTCTAGTATACCAGATTGTACTAAGCAAACGAGTTGAAAACCTCTGCGGGAGTGAGAACCGTTGCATTCGGACGAAAAATAAATGTAGTAAGGTGTTCGATGAAAACTTTTGTCATGACAATAGGTAGTCTGAAGCAGCAAAATGTAACTGACTTATAATAAAGTAAGTATCACGGCAAAATTTAGCTACAAAGAAGGCATACATCACGCTCTTTATACTATACTAATTCTTAACTTTTAAGCGAATCATAACTAGTCAGAATACAAACTAAAATAATGAAAAGACGATTCATCCGTTGAAAAATGAAGTCTAGACAATAAATCTTGGTAAGAGTAAGAATCTTTAGTGAATATGTTTTCCTTATTTTTGATGCTAATCTTATTGTATAAATCGTGTATTTCAATGCTTTTGCATGGTCCCTTTAATGATTGTAGTATATGCAAACAACGCAGTCAAGCTAACGTTCCTAAAATAAACTCAGTTTATTTCACTTCACTTGTTTTGATCATCAGTATATAATCTGAACGAGCAATAAACCACTGTATTAAAAATATATATACTTAATACATAGGGTTTGGGACTTAAGAATTATACATGGGGAACAAAACATAAGAATAGAAAATATTATATGAAGTAGAGACAGAAAAATCCAGTTGGTCTATAACCATAGATATACAAAAAAGAGACGAACATTTGTGGTGTGAGAAAAGATTTATAAAGAAACAGTCGCACAACCAAATGACAAGTTATCAAAGTAAAATGAATAGCAAACCAAGTTGTATTCATCACCTGATAAGGAACTAGTGAAACTGGATGAATTCACGTTGTTCATCAAATCTGAATCTGACCAAGATGTTCACGTTTGCTTCACAGACTAATTGTATGAGATTATATTCTAATTTCTTTCATATATCTAAGTCAGTCAGCTACAACGTAGGAGCAGGCACATTTATGCATCGGGCCAAGTTTCCATTCCTCGTTAGCACAACAAGATGAACACTAAATTCATAGTAGTTAATTTAGTGTTGGTAATATAAAAGAAAGGTTGTATATAAGGATATAGTACAGAAAGCAAGACAGATATGCGGCAATTTTAATCTCAAGGTTTGAGGGAAGATAAGGAGTGTATACGCCTGCGTAGTTTGGAGTGAGGTTTTAGTAGACCTGGGAGTGTTTTGCTCACTAGAATCGTTGGCGATGGTGACACTTGATAAAGAAACCGAAAGAGGAAGTTTAGTGTTGAAAGTCGAGGTAGAAGGAGCAGTATGAAGTGCAGAGGGAGACTGATTATGAATACAGTGGTCTTGAGTGCTGTTAGAGGTATGAGGGCAGTTATCACTTCCCGGTTGCCCACACCGTGGAAGGGTTCTTCTAGAGGTACCTGAAAAGCAAATTGGGTTAGAGGTGGTCTTAATGACCTGAGAGTGTGACCACAGTGCCCAAAGGACAACTGCTTGACCTTTTTGTGGGTAGTTTTTGTGTTAGCTCCGTACTTGTTGGGACCTTACCACCGGAGACGGATATCCGTGGGATAAGGCGGTGTGCATTTTTAGGGCCGGCCTTTTCTAACCCCACCCCTCCTTGTGGGAAGGCAGCATCGCTGCTATACTGGTTGTCTAAAGGAAACACCTTACTGCTGTCTCACCTCTGTACATTCAGCAGTACGACTTCGCCTTCGGACTTTGGGATTGCTGCTTTTAGTCTTACCGCTCTTCAACCGACCTGTCTGGCATGATAGGACTTTGAGGAATGGCTGTTCCAGCCAGTATAGCTCGATTGGTTCATCACGATAGGCAAGCCCGACCACCACGTCAAGGTAGCAGCAACGGTCGGGCATACATCTAAGTAAAGCAGTTAAAAAAATTTGAATGACTGTCTTAATTAGTTTCTTAATTCCGAGTTTATCTGGTAAGCACACCAAATAACACTCAGAAATATCTGGATTCACTAATTAAATATTTGCAAACAAACATTAACCCCGCTGTCAAACACTAAAAAGACTTAATCATTAAATATAAATTATTGGATAAAATCTATAAAATACAATAAAATACATATTATACTAATCTGTCCATTCTGAAATTAAAAGAGTTCCATTTGTTCCACCGAATCCAAATGAGTTAGTCATAACAATACGTCGATGACTATCGGGCCATGCGACTTGTATTTCATCGTGTCTAGGAAGTACAGCATAGTTCTTAAACAGATCTATACACTTTTCATTAAAAGATATATTAGTCGATGAACTGGAATTAGATTTTAAAACCTCCATCAACTCATAAATTGAGATAGGATTATGCAGATTGAGATTTCCACAAATACGGTTCTGGTTAACAGACAAAGCAGAGTACACGGTCTCTATGGCACCGGCTGCTGCCAAACAATGACCAAGGTGACCTTTGATTGAATTGATTACAACAGGTGTATGGTATTGAGGAGTAAAATATTCACCAAAAATTTGTGCAATAGCACTGAGCTCTGTTAAATCACCTACAGGGGTGGATGTTGCATGACAATTTATGTGTCCAATCTGAAACAGTTAAGAAGATTATAAAATTAAGTTAATTAATAAGTATAAATGTGAAACACAGTCATGTGTAAATAATTTTGCAACATGTGAGACGAAAAATACATTTTTCAGTTTTTTGAAGATTAATTACCAATAAGCAGGAAGCTATGTAACTCGAGTTTTTGCTTATGAGTGTACTTACAAATTAACAGGAAATGTATACACGTCGAGAAATACGAATTCATACCCTGTAGAAATATATCAAATAAAAGTGTTGATCAATAGACGATAATTAATTTTGAATTTACACTGATCCATAATGTTTAGTTAATATTAAATTACGATAGACCGTTAGAAAATCATTGACGAGTGTAAGGTTCAATCACCGACAGTCGATCTCAACAATCCTGGAAGAGTTTAGTTCTAGAAAAATAAACGTCATACGTACAAAGTACCGTTCATCAATTAGAGTATCTCGTTTACCTTTATCCGTACAAAATAGCATGGGAGAAAAGGAGCATTAAGCAATGGGCTTCATAACAAATAATTGAGTGGAGAAGTAACAAAAGAGAAACGATCTCATAATTATAAAATAAATAAATCAGAAAGACCAAGCATTACTATAAACAATATAGATTTTTTTACTAAACTAAATGTTATTATTCATAAATGAAACAAGGTTTGTCACTGATTTCTATTTTGAACGATGTCTGATATTGCATTAAGTCATTTAATTGAACTATATGGGTTGATAGAAGTGAACTCGACCCACCTGGTATATATTTAGTACGTTATATTATGGTAAAAACAAGCCACTTAAATTCTTACAACTAATTCCAACGTCAGGAGAAAGTACTAGTCATAAACCCGCAGAGACGTTATACAAAAATAGGTTCATATACCGAAGTATGCTTTAGCATTTCGTCACTCGTCGGACAATAATCGCAAATATGGGATCCCACTTTTACATACGCGATTGTATTACTTCATTAGAGTCATGAATACGGGTCTCAGATAGACAACAGACATCGATGTTGAGACTTTCTAAAGAAATGCTCAACCCTATCTGTTGTCTCATGCGTATTAGTGTGCGAACGCTGAAGGAAGTCAGTTTGAACGGTACATATAGATTCAGAAAGAGTGGTTCAGTATTCGCGGTCAGTGGTAGTATTCAACTTTCGACCCGTCAGTGACATGAGATCGTTTAGATAGGACAGAATTTCCAACATAGACGAGCTGCTGCATAATTCGATAAATATAAGAATACACAAAATGAGAACAAAAAGGAGTAGATAAGTGACGTAGTATAAAAAAATAAAAACGAATGTTATCAGATGATTTGCCAGAATGCGAGTTGGAGCAAGAACAATTTCTCTAGTAGTAGTTATCATTTGATTTGTGTGAGGGCTATGATACTGCCCAGGTGCCCAAACCGAAGTAGGTAATTTTCTTAGAGAACCACTCCCCGAGCCTTTGATCTGAAGGTCCGATCCACAAGGTAGTGGAGCGACGTTAGGAGATACAGTCCCATGGTAGTCGATTGCCAACAATAGGTATACACCATTTGTTCCCTCAGGATCCTGGAGCCCATGTACACCATTGGTTTGGAATCGAGGTTTTCCAATTCCCCTAGGTGGATCCCACGTATCCATTAACCTGGTTAAAGTGCCGGACATACGCTTTTCGTCCTCTCAATTTCGCAAACAAACTACGTGGAATTAAGACTGAAAAAGTAACAGTGAGTTACTCAGAGATATTACTGTACTTAACTATGTTTATGATAAATGACTGGTAAAACTGATGTAATATAGAATAGGTATGATATAATAATCCAACTCAATAACCAATTAAAGGTTAGTGTACACAGCTTTAAGCTATATACCTTGAAGCAGAGACAATAATTACACCAAGTTGTTTGAATCAATCCAAATAAAGCAGGGTACGAACCCAACGACAAATAGTTGGACTTCGAACAACATTCTAGTAGTAACCAAAGATGTCTTCCATGAATCGAGTAGTAAAGAATTTATAACTGAATATCTTTTTTACAATAAGAATCAGACGAACGCGTTTAGACGGCAATGATTGAAGAGTTTTCTACAAGTTTTTTTCTAGCTTTAGCAGCACCGTGAATTTTCTGCATGGAGAATGACAATTATATCAGGAAAAAACTATATAGTTATTATAGTTAGTTCTTATTTCGCAGCAAATTACTTACTTACTTACTTACGCCTGTTACTCCCAATGGAGCATAGGCCGCCGACCAGCTTTCTCCAACCCACTCTGTCCTGGGCTTCCTTTTCTAGTTCTATCCAGTTCTTGTTCATTCTTCTCATATCTGTCTCTATTTCTCGGCGTAATGTGTTCTTTGGTCTTCCTCTTCTCCTTCGACCTTCAGGATTCCATGTGAGGGCATGTCTTGTGACGCAATTAGCTGATTTCCTCAAAGTGTGCCCAATCCACTTCCAGCGCTTCTTCCTGATTTCTTCCTCCGCTAAAATCTGGTTTGTTCTCTCCCACAGTAACTTATTGCTGATAGTGTCTGGCCATCGGATCCGAAGTATTTTGCGTAGACAGCTGTTGATGAACACTTGTATCTTCTGGATAATGACTTTCGTAGTTCTCCACGTCTCCGCCCCATACAGTAGAACTATCTTGACATTTGTATTGAAAATTCTAACCTTGGTGTTGGTTGACAATTGTTTTGAACTCCAGATGATTTTCAGTTGTAGGTATGCTGCTCTTGCTTTGCCGATCCGCGCCCTCACATCTGCATCTGATCCACCGTGTTCATCAATGATGCTGCCCAGATACGTAAAGATTTCCACATCCTCCAAAGCTTCTTCGTCAAGTGTAATTTGATTGGTGCATATTGTATTGTATCGGAGAGTCTTGCTTTTCTCTTTGTTTATATTGAGACCTACTGCTGCTGAGGCTGCTGCTACACTGGTCGTTTTCTCCTGCATTTGTTGTTGCGTTTGTGATAGAAGAGCCAGATCATCCGCGAAGTCTAGATCGTCAAGTTGCATCCTGCCTGTCCACTGTATCCCGTGCTTTCCTCCAGTCGTTGACGTCTTCATGATCCAGTCGATCACCAGGAGAAAGAGAAACGGTGAGAGTAAGCAACCTTGCCTAACACCGGTCTTTACCTCGAACGAGTCGGTGAGTTGTCCTCCGTGGACGATTTGGCAGTTTAGTCCATCATAGGAGTTCCGTATGATATTGACTATCTTCTCAGGCACGCCGTAGTGTCGAAGAAGCTTCCATAGTGTCGTCCTGTCCACGCTATCAAATGCCTTCTCGTAGTCGATGAAGTTGATGTAGAGCGATGAATTCCATTCGATTGATTGTTCCACAATGATCCGCAGAGTTGCGATTTGATCTGTGCACGATCTATCCTTACGAAATCCAGCTTGTTGATCTCGAAGTTGGGCGTCCACTGAATCCTTCATCCTGTTTAACAATACTCGGTTGAAGACTTTTCCTGGTATTGAGAGAAGAGTGATGCCCCTGTAGTTGTCGCACTTGCTAAGATCGCCTTTCTTTGGTATCCTGATCAGAAGTCCTTTTTTCCAGTCTGTTGGTACTTGTTCTTCGTCCCAAATCTTACTGAAGAGGATGTGGAGTATCTTGGCAGTTGCTGTTACATTTGCTTTCAGTGCCTCCACCGGGATGTTGTCTGGTCCCGCTGCTTTGCCACTCTTGACTTGTCTAATGGCCATGCTAATCTCTTCAATTGTTGGTGGGCCAATATCCATTGGAAGGTCCGTGGGTGCTGCTTCGATGTTGGGTGGGTTCAGTGGAGCTGGTCGATTCAAGAGTTCTTTGAAGTGTTCTACCCACCTGTTTCGTTGTTCTTCAATGTCAGTGATTACTTTGCCTTCCTTGCATTTCACTGGTCTTTCTGGCTTACGGTAATTTACAGCAAGTTTCTTTGTCGTATCATACAGTTGTCTCATGTTTCCTTCTCTTGCAGCCTTTTCCGCTGTCATTGCTAAATCTTCCACATATTTAAGTTTGTCGGTTCTGATGCTCCTCTTCATTTGCTTGTTTGCCTCTCTGTATTCGGCTTGTGCCTTGGCCTTTTCCGCTCTTGTTCGGCTGATATTGATTGCTGCCTTCTTGTTCCTTCTTTCTTCAATCTTATCCATTGTACCAACAGTGATCCATTCCTTGTGATGGTGCTTCTTTTGGCCCAGAACGTCTTGACACGTTGAAACGATTGCCTCCTTGATACCTTTCCAGTTGCTCTCCATGGTAGTCCCCTCTCCATTGAGTAGATCATAAAAGGCCTGGAACCTGTTACTGAGGGCTATGTTGAATTTGTTGAGTTTGTCAGCATCTCGAAGAAAGGCCGTATTAAACTTTTGTGATGTTGTCTGAGCCGTTGTCCACTGCTTCTTAAGTTTTAGTTTCATCTTGGCGACCAGCAAATGATGATCGGATGCTATATCAGCTCCTCTTCTGGTTCTCACATCCTCCATCGTCCTCCTGAACTTTTTGTTGATGCAGATATGGTCGATTTGATTCTGTGTAGTGTGATCCGGTGAAATCCAAGTGGCTTTGTGTATGTTTTTGTGTGGGAATATGGTGCCACCTATGACCAGTTTATTGAAGGCACATAGGTTTGCAAATCTCTCACCGTTTTCGTTCCTTCCTCCCAGTCCATATTGTCCCATGACGTCTTCGTATCCAGTGTTGTCCTTTCCAACCTTGGCATTGAAATCTCCCATTAGAATGGTCAGGTCCTTGGTTGGGCACTTCTCGAAGATCGACTGCAGCCTATCGATAAATTGATCTTTAGCGTCTTCATCGTAGTCATTGGTAGGCGCATAACATTGGATGACGTTCATTGTAATGCCCTCTCTCTTTGTTCTGAAGGAGGCTTTGATGATCCTTGGTCCATGAGATTCCCATCCAATAAGTGCATTTTGTGCTTTTCTGGACAGCATCAATGCAACTCCTTGTGTATGTGGGGCATTTTCTTCTTCATGACCGGAGTATAACAGAAGTTCTCCTGAAGACAGTCATTGTTGTCCAACCTGCGTCCAATGTGTTTCGCTGATTCCAAGAACCTCCAGGTTGTATTTTCTCATTTCTGCAGCAATTTGGAAGACTCTTCCGGTCTCCCACATTGTTCGGACATTCCATGTACCTATAAAAATTTTCGCTCTGGTTGTAAGAAGGTGCATCGGCCTCATGACTTCCGAATGAACTCAACTTTCATCATGAGACGTCATAATTATTCCTTCTACTCCCAGGGCAGAGTTTGAAAGGTTTGAATGATTTTTTCTGGTTAGCGTTTTTTTTAGCGAGTTGATTTTCTATGGGATGGGGTCGCTAACCCCATGCCCAACCCTCCTCCTTTACCCGGGCTTGGGACCGGCAGTAACCCCCAGAGGAGCTACAGGCGGAGTTCGCAGCAAATTAGTTTGGTTTTTTCTCTTTCAATATGATTCAATCATAATTACCATAAACAAACTAATATTTAAAAGTATCATCTAGAAGTAAAAACAAATTTAGTTAACTCTAATTACTTTTATTTTCACTGGTGTAAACTATAAATGCAATTAGGATGTTGCTTCAGAAAATATTAAATAAATGAAGATAAATAAATATTTTAACTATTCAAAAACAACTCTTACTTGACTGAAATGTTCAAGTTTTGAGTCCTTGAAGGCATTTAACATACTTCGAAGTGCCCCATTTCCTGTTGCATCAGGTGCAACCAAATGATGTGCATCTCCTGTATGTAAAAAAAACAAATTTTTGAAGAAAAAAACAAAGTAACCTGTATGTTACGAAAAATGGTAAGAGTACAGTTGCAACACACAGGTAGATAATAAAATCAAATGAATCCTAATTTTAAGCATCATCATCATTTCTGGCCTGCTTGATTTTTATTTAATGACCATGTTGTTTCTGTGAGAAATAATACTAACCAGCAATTTAATAATATATACATTCTAAATACCCAAAAGACTACTCGTTCAATAGATCATACTATGAATAGTCCATATTTACTTTCCTTGAAAAAATATTCATTTTCAATAAATACGCTGTTCTGAAGTGGTGGCTTGATGGTTTAAACACTCGATTTTTAACAAGTAAACCGCAAGTTCATATGTCTTTTTATCTAATTCGATTAAAAAAGCCCAGTAGTATAAATAAGTCTCAAATAAACAGTGTGACTTAAATTCTTGTACACAAAAGTGTACCTAGTAAATGAGTTACATAAATTTAATTTATCAATGTAGTATCATTCCTAAATTTTAAAAACTGTCAAAGCACAGAATAAAAGTTGACAGGTGTTTAACTATAACTTATTTTTACAACTCTATCGCTTGAGTTGTACGTTAGACAGGAGTTAGCCAATTGTAAGTAAAATAAATGTTGCAGTTAAAACAAACCTGGGACCATGTAATTTATAAAATTGCTGACTGAACTCTTATTTATGGAGTTCAATCAATTATCACTTTTTAAGCAGTTTAATAAATATTTCGTATTTATTTCTGGGGTTAAATAGACTAGAGAAGTAGGTATCATTAGTACCGCAAAGGTGCATTGCATCGCACACACTAATTCACCTTATTACTGCTGAATGATGATTAATAGTTTCAGTATTCCCATTAGAGCAACGTTAAAAAAAACAGGAAGCAATATGTCGGTTACATTTTTACCGAGTGTCTGCTTTTTCTGATGAAAATAACGAATACATAACCATATGGATAAACCATTTATAAAAGTCTGAAGCAACTTATTAAGAGGGAACTAGTTCTAAAAGGGGAAAAAGTCACAGTCAAATTTCCATCAAGATAACAGAGATGCAAAATCCCATGATAAGTGCTAAAAAATCCAAACAGTACGCATTTTCATCTCAGTAAATTGAAACAAAACTTACCAGACCTTCCAAAACCAATAACTTCAGCTATCGGTTTTGGTGTTTCTATAAATGACTCCACTAAGAAACTGTCTGGAGGAGGCCATGCCTGTAATACAACTGTAGCTGCACCTTCAGATAACACAAATCCTTTTCTCAAGGAATCAAATGGACGAGAGGCTTTTTCAGGAGTATCATTAAACTGTGTACACAATGCACGTAGTCGACAAAAAGCAGCGATTATCCAGGCATTCAAAGGAGATTCACATGCACCAGTAACAACCAGATCAGCTTCGTTATTTTGAACTAGTGAAATTTGAAATAAAAATAAACGAGCAACTAATTGATAGTGAAAACAAACAAGTGGATATAAATCCCAGTTATTAAATTACACAAGTTATTTTAATTTCTAATTTACGTTTTTTCAGTGGTTTTATGTAGGGGGATTTAGTTCTTCAAATCTTTCAAACAAACCATAGTGATCATACAGTTAAATAAGTTGCTTGTTTAGTTGTTTTAACACACACACCAGCGATATTCTATAGGGATTGATTATTCAATGTCTATAACGTCTTAATATAATCATCGTTTAATGGGTAAGATACATATAAACTGTCAATTCTATCAAGCGGTTACAAAGTGATTGGACACTTGAAACTGTTTAAAAATTACTTACTCATCCGAAAGCCTTCGCCAATGCAATGTAGGCCAGAAGCGCATGCAGTATTGACTGTCATACACGGTCCTCGTAGTCCCCAAATTCGACTTATTATACCAGCTGGCATATTACCGAGTATTCTTGTTAGAGCATGAGGCCCAATAGTAGAGTATTTTTTGGATAAAATTCCTGATGATGTATTCATAACTTCATTTGGACCATCCAACCCCACTCCAAAACAAACACCTAAAGTTATACTGCAAAATTATTAGCAAACTGTCGAGCCATTAAATAACTTAGAATATCTACAAAAATGTTTGAAATACAATATACGAGTAAATTAGTAATTATGACCTATTATTAACTTATCAATCCAGAGAACTGGTATGATTATAATCTAATAAACACAAATAGGTAACCATGTGCAGATTCATGTATGTGTGTTAAACGACCTAGATACTCGAACCGAAGTGAGTGGGACGAGATTTAAACCAGAAACCCAATAATCGCTTTGAGTTAACCCAACACTCTATTGGGATTTGCTAAACTAGACTAATTTTACTTACTTTTATCCAATTAGACATGGGATGATAGTGATAAAATTATCTAAAAAAGCATACACCAGCGATCGTTTCTAAAGAGTATAGTTAAAAATTGGAAAGTGTTAGAGTAACAACATATATCCACAGAAATCCATTGATAAACACGGAACTACTGAATACAATAAAATGAATTGATCTAAAGTCAAATACAAACATTCTCCATTCCCTCAAGCTTTAAAAGTGATGAACTTATACAGGTAGTTAGTCATTCGGTCATAACCAACGTAGAACGTGACAAAAATTTGTATCATAAATAGTTAATATACTTGACAGAACACGCCACCAATTAAAATCTACCTGTAGGAGCATGACAGTTAACCTGATCAGAAGTCGAAATGCAGCTTTTTTGTTAACTGCAAACATATTTCCTAGATTATGCGTGTCACAGAAGTTAGAATGTAAAGATAAAAAAGGAGCAAATTTTGAAAGGTCTTTATTCCCGGAGAGTAAACATCCTTTGACAAATACTGAGAAAGCATATAAGCTCAAGTCTTTTCAGACTTTCTGAGGTCATAGCAAACAAACAGATATTTGTGTCTAAGAAAAAAAAGTGACTAATGCCAATAATCTGAATTTAAATTCCTTTACCTGACTGGTTAAATCATATTTCAGTTGAACTTCTTTTCATTTCAAATCGAAGTTTTGCTCTCAATCCAGTGAATTCAGGTAACCACGCTCTTATATACCTTGTTTCTTCATTACCATCAATTTATCTACTGATTTAATTGCGTAAGCACCTACTTTAAGCTCCATAATGTTTTTATACAACCCCCCTTGATTTTCGGGGACCTTTTATCGAACACAATAATCGATCGCAGAATCTTAAAATACCTTCCTAACTATACAAGGATTTTCATTATTCTAACCAAACTATGGTAATTATTTCTTAACCGAACTGCTAATAATGATCTATTCCAGAAATCAGACCATCGTAAACCTTGTCTGTGGTTTTGGCGTTTAGATATCACAGATTATAAATAGCTGATAAAGAAGTGACGAGATAAAGTAAGTTTACTTCACTTGTTTAGTCAATGTCCTGGCCTATGTAAAACGAAAAAGGCTCAATCAATTCGGTCAAATATATTAAGCATTTTGGATTCATATTTTACTAAAATATCGAATGCAGGTGCTAATTGAGTGAATAAACGTTTAGGTCAATTGACAGGAAGGAAATTCCCTGAGCTAATGAGAAAACGTTAGAATGAAGTTATCGTACCTCGTGAATGTTATCTTATTAGATCATTTAAAAACATACCTGCTCGGTAACCTGAGTTTGCTTTCCACTTCACTTGTTTGAAAGCTTCACAAGTTGCAATAATACCCAGAGCACTAGCACGTGATACAGATCTCCAGTCATTAGAAATATCCAAAACACATGACTTATAGACCTCAGACTCCACAAGAGACTTTTGTTCTTCCAATTTTCGATCATCGATGCTCCCAAAAACATGACTGGGCAGAAAAGAAAATTCATCTATGAGTCATGAAAATTAACAGAAAAATACCAAGCGTCTTTGATATTCCACAAGATCCCTGCAAAAGATTCGCCCATAATTCGGATACACTGAAACCCAAAGGTGTACAGACCCCCAAACCAGTTATCGCAACTCTCCGAACTCCTGTCATTAATAGAGATATCTAAAGGATATAATAAGCAGTAAATTGGTGGATGAAGTAAGCTTGGATGTTTTATAGTTATATTTGTGAAGAATGAAAAGACACAAAAACTGAAGGACGGTTTATTTTCTTAAATCTATCAGTCACCCCCATCTCCTTAACTCACGGAACAATATACTCAGAATACAGCAAATCCAAATGACTCTTTTGTTAAGATATTTTTTGAATTATCACAGCATTACGCAGCTATGGTGATTGAAGGTATTAAGAAAAACCATTGTGACTGCTAAATATTTTTTTAGTAAATTAATATGAAGCAAAAGAAAGGAATGAAAAAGTGATATCAATATTAGTGAAGTATTAAAATTAGAAATAAAACCGGAGTAATCTTATTCTAATATGTACGGCAGGATAGCCCCCGAATATTAGTGACTTCATAGATTGATGGCATTTTGAAAATAAGCATCATTTCAAAGAACCAAGATCACCTAATTTTAACACTTAGAAATTTAAATAAACCTAATGAATGTGTCGGATGTGTTCTACTTAACAACACACTCAGCTACCATAAAAGTAAACAACCACTACAGACTATGTGGACGTTGACAAAAGCAATGGGTAAGATAAGTATGTCTCATAATTCACAAACGAATTTAGCTGTGCGAATTCCCCTCATATCTATACGGTGTAGATTCCACATCACAGGAAAATAAAACTGAATTTGCTTAGATCTAACTAAATTTAACTTAGTAAGACCTTAAAGGGTTAACCAATTATTGTCTGAATAAATAACATGAATCAAGTTTATTTATTTACATACTGATGGCGAGTTTTCCTACATTTATAGAAGACCAGAAAGCCTGATAAACAGGACCCTATACCGATGAGGACCAGAAATTGCTGCAAAGGAAGACTTTGAGCTCTAAACAAAAAATGTATTTGGTCGATATGTCATCCCCTTGATATGTTAGGCACGGATAGCTCGACGTCCAACAAAAAAGGCAGTTAAAGTATGAGCGTATAACAGGATCATTAGAAAACCTATTTATTTAAACATAAACATTAGTGTATATATATATATGAGGAGGAAGAGAAAGGAGGGTGAGTATAATAAAAAAGGGACGGAAATAAGTAGAAATTAGTGTATGGGAGTAAAGCAACGATACGAATTATAATAATGATGGAAGAAGCAGTTCAGTTGAGAAATATACAAACCAGCAAATATTCTTTCAGTTTCTCACCACTGGTTTTTATTCTGAGCCATGTCTGATAACGTCACAAACCGTCCCTAGGACGTCATACTGAATGAAGTTCACACCTGTTATCGTGGCCGGAATTCATAACGAACTGGTATGGAAAGAATTGGTCCAAATAATATTATCTTATTTTGCTATGTCAGAGCTGAATTTCACTATTGAGTCCCCGAATTCACCAGGAAGTATGGTGAGGAAGGAAGATATGCAAAGTACAAACTTAAATACGGTATCTGATTGATCTTCGTGAAACAGCCTGGGATTGTTTAGATAAAATCAACCGTGAGATTTACTAATGGCAACCCGGGCTTCGCCAAAACCCATTGCACTTGTGTCTTGATCATCTATCAACCCTAAATTTAGTAATAATCGAAAGTATATCCTGTTTCAACGTTGTATGGACAGTGAGTCAGTGAGAAACATTTATTACCTAGCTGATGAATAAGCTGTTGTGAAGAAAACGTTTTCAACCTTTAGCAAGTTGACTTTTATGGTCTTCTGAATTTAAGGGAATAGATTTCGGTGACTCGATTCCCTTGCCCCTAATTTCCCCTAGGTGTCAAATGGGGTTAAGTTTCGTAAGTACTAAAAAGGGGATCCAAGATAAATCTCGTGGCTGAAGTCATAAGATCATCAAATGTAGGGTGGCTTGATAAACCCGGTTTTAATTGTCATCATATTCCCATAAAGGTATAAGTTTACGTTAACTGATCCTAATACTTCTAGAGAAAGTTATACTTGCCATTGTACTCATTTCTAGTGAGCTCAACGACATCAAAAGTGCCTGGTTGAGAGGAGGAGGTTATGCGTACTGGTCTGAAGAATATTTGTTTAAACTTTGGATATACTTCAATTAATTCAAGTTTCTTCAAAATATACCTTCATCGGTTTATATCATGAGCACCTTGGAAGCCAACGTACTGTTTCCTGTCCAGAGATACCATGAAAAATTTGCGACCTGCGGAGTAAAAACCTATACGATTATGAAGCAAACTCTGACTACCCAAGGTTTGTCCAGTTTGATGCTTATATGAGTTTTATTTTTGATACCGAGATTACTCCAAGTGAGATGGATCTCGGTTATCTGCTACTTTTCGGAGCTGATTATATTCTATCTGCATGGCCGTACATACTTCCCTTTAAGAGGAAGTGGCCATTTCTTGGCATGAAAGGGGATTAAGAAACAAGGATCTAAATGTTTAGGAAGACAGCAGCAGTCCCACTGAATCTACCAGCCTTATTTGAGTTCACCTCCGACACCGTTTTTAATGTAGAGTTGTAGTTTTTAGAACAGATACGGTAGAGATGAAAATATTTCTGGTTTAACTGTTTGCACAGAAAGCGTCTGAGAACTTTTACTACAGCTAAAACAGCGAGACGTTTACTTGGAGCGGCCCATTATGCTTTTCACAGTGAAGGACATCAGTGAATTTAAGTTTATTTATGAATACTTTCAGTACAATTCCACAAAGATGTTAATATTCTTAAATTTGACCGAGACTAAAAAAGTAATATGAAGTGTTTACTATACGTGAATAAACGTCATTACACTGAAGCTAGTGAAAGATTGCCTGTGATTAGTCACAAAGAAATAGGATTTGAAAGTGAAGTGTTATAAACCGATTTAGTCAGGTGTAAAATAGTAAAACCCGCTTACAAATGCCAATGATTTTGATGAAGTAACTCCTACTTTCGGGACGAGAAGTTATAGGTTATGAGTCAAATTCAGCACTCGGTTGCCAATCGTATCGTGCTGAAGAACTAAGAAACAACTGTGTTTCTCCAGTCATTATGCAAACATAGCGCATACTACAGAACTGCCGCAAACTCGATGTTCAATAATTTGCAATTAAAAGTTTGTATACTTATATTAATCTAATCAATCACTGAAAAGGCAGTATTTCATGCCTCATTTGAAATTATCGTTACGAAATTCAGACAATTCTTTCTTAGTTAAGAATAGAAGTATCGGACCTTTGAGTCGTATGTCAGTGAAATTTAGAGGGCACAGGATATAAACTGAGAAGTCAAAGATAAAACGCATACACACCAAATTTAAGTACATCGTCATATTGTCAACTTACGCAGCTGTATCTACCCCTTTGGTTGACTCATTAAAGGGGGAGCTGAACACAAAAGGAAACTCACTGGAATGGGATTCATACAAGCCTTTGAGTTTCTATCCACACAGATAAATCTGAAGATCACACTCAAGATCACTCAAGCTCTCCTTGTTAGTGAGGCCAGGAAGCTCTGTTGTTATTGTAGACCACCAACATAGGTGATCTATGTCGAATGATTAGGAGCCTACTTTAGTTAGACGGGAATAGTGTGACTAGCAGCTAACGTCGAAGTCGCACCTCACGATCAGCACCTAACGTGGACTACTCATTCGTCGTATTAAGGTACCATGGATGCTTTGAACACCATATAATACAAATATATTAGTAGTCGAAAGAATACAGAGAAGATAGTAAGACCACTACCGCATGGTCCAGTCCATGGCTTGAGATCAACTGATGCGCCCAGGCTATCCTTGACTTTGACAGGGATCGATGATCTGTTCGATATTCAGTGACCCAACTCCCTGATGATTGGGCTAGGGATCAAGGACATTTCACCGGCCCTACGTTATTTTAATCCCAGCTGATTAAAAGTTTACCAGTATGTCTGTTTTATGTTCAAAAATAACTTACTTACTAAGTTCCGTATTCTAACTGAGCCTTGATATATTCTGGATGTCGAACTAAAATGCGTATTCGACACGAAAATATGTAGTTTTCAAGGCCCAGTGGAGCTAACTAAGCAAAGATATGCAGCTAGCATAGTCTTTGTCTCATACGTCGGCCAGATGGACAACCGTTATGAACCAGTCAACACAACCGAAAGACGGAATGCTTTTATTGCCTACGGTTCGGTCGGAGAGTCCGGAAATGCGGGCATAATAAATCCTGGAAGCAAGATGAGACTAGGTTTTGCCATTTATCTTCATATTATTGTACATCCGTATATCCGATAACTATAACTGGTAGTTTACAGGGACTGCAAACCACTATTCTACTGGATGCAGGAGCTTCAGTATCCACTGTGAGAGAAGGATTTTTACGCATACTGAATCATAAGAACCGGCAAAAGTCGTGTTCCTCCGCACTTAAAACAGCTGGTGGTTACCTTCTCAAAGTGCACTCAAAGGTGTGGTTGGCTGCACCGGCAAGCAAACACTCATTCATACACGAATTCTTGGTATGCCCCACACGTACATCATACTGACACATCGCCTCAAGAACGTAACTAAATCGGTAGCTCATGTATAGGTGTCTGAAGTCATACGCCAAGGAAAAACTAACGAACAAATAACGGATAACGTCCGTCTGTCAACCGTTTCCCCACTTCAATAATTTAGTCCTGTTTTCTCGGAGAATATCCCTGGAAATCGGACGACCACGGTACGATACTCCATTCCAACAAGTGGCCATATGCCATTACGTTAACCACCTCGAAGAGTACCAGTACACTATCGTCCTCGGTTATAATCAATGATAAAGGAGATGCTAGAGAAAAAGATTATTCTACCATCTTCATCACCGTAGGCTTCGCCCATCGTTTTAGTGAAGAAGAAAGATTTCTCTCTTCGATTATTTAAAGGTTGCTGTCGCCTTAATGCTATAAGGAAGCGCGACTCCTTTCCACTTCCGCGAACTGATGCTACATTACGCGCTATGAAAGGTGTGTGCTGGTTTTCGATTTTAGACCTAGCATCCGGGTACTGGTTAGTGGAAGTACGACCACAAGATAGAAAGAAGACTGCATTCGCTGTACCATATGGTCTTTAAGAGTTTCAGGTGATGCCTTTCGGGTTAACTAATGACCCATCCACTTTCCAGCGACTGATGCAGACAGTTCTACATGGCCTCGTACCACACAAGTGCTTGATCTACCTTGATGATATTATTGTGTATGGCAGCACGCCCGAACGGCATAATGCCAACTTGAGGGCAGTCGTACAACGTATTTGGGAGCATAACTTAGTGGCGAAACCGTCTTAATGTCGACTCACGTAAAAAGAAGTGCCCTTCCTAAGACATCGCATTACGGAGGATGGGGTAGGAACAGATAAGGAAAAAAACGATCTCCATAATTAACTGGCCACAGTTGAAATCTGTTGGGGATGTCCTCAGTCTCCTGGGGCTGGCTTCTTACTATAGACGTTTCGTACGAGATTTGCATCCCTGGCAGCATCTTTAAATCGCCTGACGCAAAAAGTACGGAAATTTTTGTGGACCACAGAATTTCAACAGGCATTTAAAACCTTGAAGTAATGTCTTGGTGCTCCAACCATACTAGCTTTTCAGGACAATTCGGCTAAAGGAGATAAGTTTATACTTGATACAGATGCTAGCTCGTGTGCTATTGAAGCAGTCCCGTTTCAAACAGCACAAGATGGACAGGAGAGGGTCATAGCGTATGCTAGTCGGCGATTCGCCAGAGGTTTTGGTGGCCATTCATCGATGAGGACGTGGCAGAATACTGTAAAAATTGTAGCACGTGTTATGCTATCAAGTTACCACAACAAATGCCCTGTGCACTGTTAGTTCCAATGACGACTGAAGGTCCACATTAGCGAGTTGGTATCGTTATTATGGGGCCACTTACAACATCAAAGAACGGAAACTGCTATATACTGGTGGACTATTTTAGCAAATAGTGTGAAGCCGTCCCTATACCACAACAATATGCCTGCACGGTCTCTCGAACTTTTATTGATCATTGGGTCTCCCGTCACGGCCCTCCATTCTCAATCCATTCTGACCAAGGTGCAGCTTTTGAAAGCCATCTCGTCGTCCAGGTATGCCGATTATTGGGAATCCGCAAAACACACACTTCTGCACACCACCCTGAAGATGTCGGCTTAGTGGAAAGAAAAAACAGAACCACCAAAACCCTTCCACAATCGTTTATCAATAAGTCGTCGACGAAATGTTGGGATGATGCAATACCTCAATGCTTTTTAGCTTACCGCACATCAGTGCACGGATTCACGGGATTTTCACCTGCGACTTTACTCTTTGGGCATGAATTACACCTACCTGTTGAGATACAAATGCCGTTGTTGCGATGTGAAGTTCAAGACCGTGTACCATACATCCATGACCTTTGCAGCCGTCTAACCGACGTATATCACCTAGTTAAAACTAACCTACAAAATGCCAGCAAACACCAAAAGGATGTATATGACCAACAAGCGAATGGGCCAGCATATAAACTCGGAGATTGTGTTTGTTTGCATCGCCCTCTGGTCCCACCAGAAACATGCAGTAAGTTCCACTAGCCTTGATAAGGGCCTTATGAAGTTGGATTTATTCGATCCCCTACTATATTCGTCCTACGTAACCTCCCACGACCTTAAGATAATGTTATAACAGCACACTACAATCGGTTGGAGCCAGACAGAACAACAGTGCACTTAGATACCCAGTTTGTCAACCCCCCGACTGTTATCAGCCATTATGAAGTGTCACCAGAAGGAGGGGTGGCATACCTATGTCCACAACCAGGCACTGAGGATAGTGCCTCATGAAGGGAAAAAGTAGTGTAACGGTATTAAAAATCATTACATTACTAATGCGAGTTTGTTTTTCTTATTGCGGGGCAACAAAGGGTGAACGCACTGCAAGAAGAGGAACAAACACTATGTGATCTGAACCTGCAGAACAGCGAGTAAAACTAATTTTTAACTAGCTTCCCCTTTTGTACTCCAACCGCGTCTTTCATTTTCAAAAATGTATCTGTTGTGCCAGTACACCGTGTTCTCACTTCAGAGGCACTTACTGGTCCTGACTGTTGTGTTGTTGTTTCAGATCGCTCCTGCTCCCAAGTGAACGTCAATATATAACGTGCTAAATGTAGTGTATTTGGAATTTGAAATCAAGCAGCCATCAAGTGTAAAAGAATCATTGGTTCATATTAACACCACATCCTCCACAGCTTAAAATGGCGTCTAAGTGTCCTTAATTGATCGTACGTCTTCTTAATTTCATCCTGTGTCTGTCCGACAGTGTATTGGATAAAGACTCTGTATTATCTAGAATTAACTCGTTAGTATTAGACGTAACAACCAAAATTGGAACAGACTCACCTGATCCCTGGAATTGTATACAATCATCATATCGGTTGTGTAGTGAAACCACTGATGTCTAGAATTTGGATCGGAGACTTTCCAACACTATCCCCCCCACAAAACAATGTTGGGTCCCTACGTCGCAGTGTTGCGACTAATTTGACGCTCTCAATTTGCATTATCTTCTCATATCTCACGCTTCGATTATCATTTGTGAGTATTTGGGGATACACACTGACACGTAATTTAAGGCATTCCATCATATGACTTTGACTTGCACAAAAATTATGATACCTACTCTTTTTATTATTCATATCAGAATACACAAATAGATATGCATTGATATGTGTAATTAACACATGTGATTCATCTAGGCTTGACTCACATGCGAAGCAATCGAGTGGAAAACATGCATCTGCCTCATAATCTTTAGGATAATCTTGGACTTCATTTGGATTTTCTACCTGTGCAAACTGGTTCTCTGATTGCTTCGGGAAAACTTGCTATTCCCTCTGATTCATCATACCACTGACTAGGGATTCTACTGGACAAACATTGGTTTGGAGAATATCCAACATCCGATACAATAACATCAGAAATGTGACTGGAATCTGACTCATCCGAAACATATTTGTTACATTCATTAGGGATATCTCTATATATAAATCTATTAAGACGACGAATAGCACTTGATATGACATCAGAATTTGATCTCCCTGA